ATCAAACCCCTCTTTCCACCATTCTCGCGATCACCGCAAAACGCAACTTCATGGATACCTTCGAATTCATATCTTATGCCTTTCCGCTAGATGATACCTGTACCAAAAACCCCCGTATTCTCGTAATATTCTTCAATCCTCATGATCCCGCCTAAGAAATAACGCCGCTACATCCCCCCCACACCCGTTAAGCCGCTATCCCCCCAAAAACGTAAACCCGTCATTAACATTAACCCGATCATAATTACCCAATGAATTTGAAGTTAAATGAGTTCATGGGTTGACTCAACTCATTTAGCAACTCATTTAGCAAAATGTGATCAGCCAACCCATGAACTCATTTAATTTGATGGGTTAGATGGTTAAATGGGTTGACTCATTAATGTAATAAATAAATTAATAATTAAAATAAATTAACAATAAAAAGAAAAAAATAATAATAATAATCATAATAATAATCACCGATTTACGTTTTTGGCGGGAAAACGAATTTACGTTTTTGGCGGGAAAATCACAGATTTAAGTTTTTGGCGGGAAAATTACGAATTTACGTTTTTGGAGAGAAAATCATAGATTTACGTTTTTGGCGGGAAAATCATTGATTTACGTTTTTGGAGGGAAAATCATAGATTTACGTTTTTGGCGGGAAAATCACGAATTTACGTTTTTGGCGGGAAAATCACGGATTTGTGTTTTTGGCGGGAAAATCATGGATTTACGTTTTTGGCGGGAAAATCACGGATTTACGTTTTTGCCGGGAAAATCACGGATTTACGTTTTTGGCGGGAAAATCACAGATTTACGTTTTTGGCGGAAAATCACGGATTTACGTTGGCGGGAAAATTATCCATCCTCATTTTTGGTTAAAAATTGTAAAAAAATTTTGCGGGAAAATTATGGATTTACGTTTTTGGCGGGAAAATCACGAATTTATATTTTTGGCGGGAAAATTGTGTATTCACATTTTTGGCGGGAAAATTAAGGATTATATTCAATTGGTTTAGAAGTTTTGGTTAGACAAATTGAAATCGGTTTAGAGATTTGGATTGGTTTAATTCAATTTAACCAAAATTGTTGGGTTAAATGGGTAAACCATTGACCCATTACAACCCAACTCATTTCACCCATCAACCCATTTGACTCAATAACTCATTTGATCCATCAACTCATTTGAGTCAAAAATTTCAATTCATTAAGGTTCATGGATTGAGTTGAGTTGAGTTGACCCATGAATCTTGACCCATTTTGACACTCCTATACATATACATTAGCAAATAGTTAGAATATTTAAGATTGAATTAGGGAAGAACACAATTTTTTTTTTGTCAACCACACATTAATTATTAAAAAACTCATTGATTGGTTGCTCAACTAGGAGGAGTAGTGCTTACAAAAGAGTAGGGAAGAACACAATTGTTTGTCAGATTAATTGAAAATCTTCTTTATTTGCTTTCTTCTTAAAATTAGATTATTAAAGATTTTATTCCTTAACTATAACATTTATTTTTCTAACCTATTAAATTATTAACAAAATAAAACGAAATTAGTTTTTTTGTTAAAAAAACGAAAATGCTGTTTTCATTTAATCTTACTAATAAAAGATCATTTGAAGAAAAACTATCATTTGAAAAATTATAGCAAAATGTGACAATGTGTAATGTAATTTAAACTCTGAAATATCTATTGTATACCTACTAAATTTATGTATATCATTCAGTTTGAATTTATTTAATATCACTTAAAAATTTATTTATAAAATGTCTTATACATGGAAACAAAAAAAGTAAAATTGAAAAATAGTTCTAATACCGTATACAACATCATTTAGTTAACAAATTTCTAATACAATTTGCACTAATGCTACCAGATTTGAACTGGGAGAACTATACAATTATACATGTGGTAAGACTAGATTTTTTTTATAAAAAAACAACACACATTTATTGCAAAAGGAAGAAAAAAAGAAAAAAAGAAAAAAAAGAAAAAAAGAAAAAAAGAAAAAAAGAAAGAAACTTGTTATAAGAGAGAACTGGTAGGCTCGATTATGATTTATGATGCAAACAAGTTTCCTCTGTCTTTACCCAGAAGATCCTATATTCGTTTCTCGATCAAGCTAAACCCTAATAATCGAGCTCCTATTTCCCGTTTTCTCCGCTGTTTTCCTAATATCAAGCCCTAATCGTTGTAGCAACCTTGACTCCGTCAAACGCGAAATCTCCTTGATTGGCTCTGAATTTGAGGTGAAATGTTCGAATCTCGTTTTTATTTAATTTTGCTCTGTTGTTCCTAAGCCTTGCTTTTTGATCGGGATTCCAAAGTAAGATAAAGTATCGCCCTTTGTACGAGAATAGATGAACTTTGTTGATGTTATAAAGTTTGCTTATTTGTTTTCCTTGATTCTCGTTTCGGTTGAGTTTATGGCTTTGTGCTACCAACATTAAAAAGAATGAAAGTTTGGCTGATCAATAAGAAATTCTCAGTGTTAATCTCATCCATGTTGTGTGGTCATTTGTTCCTGTTGATTTGGGTTAATCCGTTTTTTTTTTTTTTTATTGTCATGTTTTGGTTTCTATGTCTACTTACTATTGATACTTTGCTCTTCATGGCTTGTAAACACAGGACACTTGATGGATAATAATAACTGGAGGCCTTCTCTTCCAAACGGAGAACCTGCCATGGACTCAGGTGACTGGAGAACTCAATTGCCTCCTGATTCACGTCAGAAGATCGTCAACAAGATGTAAGTTTAATATACCACTTAGAGTTTTCATCCCTCCCACTCTAGCGGTGTTTTTTTGTCTATGCCACTTAAATCCTACAGAAATAGAAGGTTATTATGGTGACATAGTTCCTTGACCAATAGTTTGTTTTTACTTATTTTCTTGCCACTTGCGCAGAATGGAAACACTCAAGAAGCACCTTCCGTTTTCTGGACCTGAGGGAATTAACGAGCTCAGGAGAATTGCAGCCAGATTCGAGGAGAAAATTTTCAGCGGTGCTGTTAACCAGGTTATTAATAGTCTTCTGAACCTAGATTTTTGTTTCGTTAGTCAGCTAAATATAAAGATTTGTGAGGAAATGGACTCCACAACATGGAAAAGAACTACCTTTTGGCACCTGCAAAGCTTAGCCTCGATATATGGGTGTGAAATCCATGTATACCTTCCTGATATTCTTTTATATCGCCTTTCAGACTGATTACCTTCGGAAAATATCAATGAAGATGCTGACAATGGAGACTAAATCACAAAATGCAGCTGGTTCTTCCGCATCTATCCCTGCCGCTAATAATGGCACATCCATAGATTCGAGTAATCACGATTCTCAAGCATGAATTGCTTAAGTCTGTTGTTCTGGTTTTTGGATAATTGTTTCTCTTATTTGATGCATTTTAACCTTTCCTTGAATAGTACCCACCAATCAAGGTCATCTTCTTCCAGGATCGCTACCAACCAATCAATCTCAAGCGCCTCAGCCGTTACTGTCCCAAACCATGCAGAATAATAGCGCCTCTGGAATGACGGGTTCTACTGCTTTACCATCTTCCATGCCGCCGGTTTCTTCCATAACCAATAATAACGCCACAAGCGTCGTAAACCAGAATGCCAATATGCAAAATGTAGCTGGAATGTTGCAAGATTCATCTGGGCAGCATGGCCTTTCCTCGAACATGTTTTCAGGATCCCAAAGGCAGATGCTTGGAAGGCCACATGCTATGTCTTCACAGCAACAACAGCAGCCATATCTTTATCAGCAGCAGCTACAGCAGCAACTTCTCAAGCAGAACTTCCAGTCAGGGAATGTTCCCAATCCCAATTCGCTTTTGCCATCACACATTCAACAACAGCAACAAAATGTGCTGCAGCCAAATCAACTGCATTCGTCTCAACAACCTGGCGTTCCAACATCTGCTACGCAGCCCTCCACTGTGAACTCAGCTCCTCTCCAGGGACTCCACACAAATCAGCAATCAAGTCCGCAATTGTCTTCTCAGCAGACGACACAATCTATGCTTCGTCAGCATCAATCGTCAATGCTAAGGCAACATCCGCAATCACAACAAGCCTCTGGCATCCATCAGCAGCAAACTTCATTGCCGCAGCAATCAATTTCTCCTCTACAACAGCAGCAAACACAAATAATGCGGCAACAAGCTGCAAATAGCTCAGGCATCCAACAGAAGCAGATGATGGGGCAGCATGTTGTTGGGGATATGCAGCAGCAACATCAGCAAAGGTTACTGAACCAACAAAATAATATTATGAACATACAACAGCAGCAGTCGCAGCAGCAACCACTGCAGCAGCCACTGCAGCAGCCACAGCAACAGCAAAAACAGCAGCCACCGGCCCAGCAGCAGTTGATGTCTCAACAAAACAGCCTCCAGGCAACTCATCAGCAACCACTGGGCCCTCAAAGCAATGTTGCAGGATTGCAGCAACCACAACAACAGATGCTCAATTCCCAGGTTGGCAATTCGAGTTTGCAGAATAACCAGCACTCGGTGCATATGTTATCACAACCAACGGTTGGGCTGCAACGAACACATCAGGCTGGCCATGGCTTGTTTTCTTCTCAGGGCCAACAGTCACAAAATCAGCCATCCCAACAGCAGATGATGCCACAGCTTCAATCGCATCATCAGCAACTAGGTTTGCAACAACAACCTAATCTGCTACAACAGGATGTGCAACAAAGGCTACAAGCTTCAGGCCAAGTCACAGGTTCCCTGCTTCCACCTCAAAATGTTGTGGACCAACAGAGACAACTATATCAATCCCAAAGAACCCTTCCGGAGATGCCATCATGTATGCTTTTTCATCCTTTTAAATACTTTAGGTTCTGATATTTTACATAACCTCTCAGCAGGATATGATGTTGAACAATTTCCGTTTTTATAATTCTTAGCATCGCTGGATTCGACGGCACAGACGGAAAGTGCAAATGGAGGTGACTGGCAAGAGGAAGTTTATCAGAAGGTAGTTCTCTCTTTTTAAGTTTGCTATATGTTTACCAATTCTAGCTACACTTATTTAATCTTCAAGTGATAGATATCATTGTAATGAGTAATTGTATGACCATAGTGCTTGTCTTTGTAGATCAAATCTATGAAAGAGACGTACTTACCAGATCTGAATGAAATCTACCAGAGAGTTGCAGCTAAGTTGCAGCAAGTAAGTTACAATTTTCTTTTTTTACTAAGAGAATAGTTTGCACGTGGATGTCCTCTGGTAACGTAGTGAGTACCCTCTGAGGAGTTTTGTGAATTCAATGCAAAAGTTCGGTTCGTTATTGCAGAAGAACGCCATATAACTTTGGAGTCTTGTTACTCATAAAAAAAAAATCTTAAGACTCGTTTTCTTAAAGACTGTCTACTAGAAAATTTACCTGCTCATTGTATTTGTTATGTTCTTTCCCAAACCTACAGAAGCTGTAGCTTGCACCGATGTATTTGTTTCGTTTTTTATTCATTAAGTTATTTTTGTATCTGAGCAGGATTCTCTTCCACAGCAACAAAGATCAGATCAGTTTGAGAAATTGAAACAATTCAAAACAATGTTGGAGCGAATGATTCAATTTCTATCTGTTTCAAAGAGCAATATCATGCCCGCATTAAAGGATAAGGTGGCTTATTATGAGAAGCAGATTATAGGTTTCTTAAATATGCACAGGCCGAGGAAGCCAGTACAGCAAGGGCAGCTTCCGCAATCTCAGATGCAGCCTATGCAGCAACCGCAATCTCAGACAGTTCAAGATCAATCTCATGATAACCAAACAAATCAGCAAATGCAATCAATGAGCATGCAGGGTGCTGGGCCAAGGGCACAACAGAGTAGTCTGCCAAATATGCAGAACAATGTTCTATCATCTCGTCCTGGAGTTTCAGCTTCACAGCAGAACATTCCCAGTACCATACCGGCTTCTAGTTTAGAATTAGGCCAAGGAAATGCCTTGAATACTGGCCAGCAGGTTGCCATGGGATCGATGCAACAAAATACTTCTCAACAAGTAAATAACAGTTCTGCCTCTGCTCAAAGTGGGTTAAGCACACTTCAGACTAATGTAAATCAACCCCAGTTAAGTTCCAGTTTGCTTCAGCATCAGCACCTCAAGCAACAGCAAGATCAACAAATGACGCAGCAGTTCAAACAGCAATTTCAACAGCGCCAGATGCAACAGCAACAGTTGCAAGCAAGACAGCAACAGCAACAGCAACAGTTGCAAGCAAGACAGCAAGCGGCACAATTACAGCAGATGAATGATATGAATGATTTAACTTCAAGGCAGGGGATGAATGTCAGTCGTGGGATGTTTCAGCAACATTCTCTGCAGGGTCAGCGTGCTACTTATCCTCTTCAACAGTTAAAACCAGGAGCTGTTTCCTCGCCTCAACTTCTGCAAGGTGCATCTCCTCAGATGTCACAACAACATTTGTCTCCTCAGGTTGACCAGAAAAATCTATCAACTGTCAACAAGATGGGAACTCCATTGCAACCTGCAAATTCCCCTTTTGTTGTCCCATCTCCTTCAACCCCCTTGGCTCCGTCCCCTATGCAAGTTGACTCTGAGAAACCTGGTGCTTCTTCGTTGTCAATGGGAAATATTGCACGCCAACAAGCAACTGGCATGCAAGGTGTAGTTCAGTCCCTAGCAATTGGCACTCCAGGGATCTCTGCCTCTCCTCTCCTTCAGGAGTTTACTAGTCCTGATGGAAATATTTTAAATCCTTTGACAATTACATCTGGAAAACCGAGTGCTACTGAGCTGCCTATTGAACGCCTTATTAGAGCCGTAAGTAAAATTTCCAATTTTGAAGGGCATATAGTAACAGGACGGTGATATTGCTCCGATCCCTCTTTGGTAGTATAATCATTGTTCTGGTTATGATGTATGCTTTGTTTTCAGGTGAAGTCCAGCTCACCACAAGTGCTTTCTTCTGCAGTAAGTGACATCGGATCGGTTGTAAGCATGGTTGATAGGATAGCTGGTTCAGCACCAGGAAACGGTTCAAGAGCTTCAGTTGGTGAGGACTTGGTTGCAATGACTAAGTGCCGCCTCCAAGCAAGAAACTTCATGACCCAAGAGGGAATGATGGCGACCAAGAAAATGAAGCGTCACACAACCGCAATGCCACTAAGCGTTGCTTCACTGGGAGGAAGCGTTGGTGATAACTACAAGCAGTTTGCTAGTTCAGAAACATCAGATCTAGAATCCACTGCGACTTCTGATGGCAAGAAGGCAAGAACTGAGGTATGATTTTCAGTTAGACTTCTCTTAGGTAGATTTGAATATTGACACACACACACGCAACAAAGAAAATTTGGAAGCACAAGGCTTCGATATTCTTTTTTTTGAATACTCTATCTTGGACTGCAGACCGAGCATGCCCTTTTGGAGGAAATAAAAGAAATAAACCAGCGGCTGATAGATACAGTTGTTGAGATAAGTGATGATGAAGATGCTGCTGATCCTAGTGAGGGAGCAATATCAAGCATAGGGTGTGAAGGAACAACAGTTAGATTCTCGTTTATAGCTGTTTCTCTCAGCCCAGCCTTGAAGGCTCATCTCTCATCAACACAAATGGTAAGCATGGTCAACTCGTTAACGTTTTGTGAAAAATATATCATTTATCCTTTCATAATATATGTTTTGTGCTTCTAATACAGTCTCCTATTCAACCATTGCGTCTACTGGTTCCTTGTAGCTACCCCAATGGCTCTCCATCTCTTCTGGATAAACTGCCGGTTGAAACCAGGTACAAGCAAGATCCTTCAGTCTCGCGTAAATAGAAACATAGATTTTTCATACCGAGTCAAGCAAACTTGTAGGATACAGTTAGAATGTTTGCAAGAATCATCTGCTCATGTCATGTCCTAGAAACCCTTTATAAGAAGAAACTGCGTTATCTTCTTACCTTAACACGGTCTGCTTTCTTGAACAGCAAAGAAAATGAGGACCTCTCGTCCAAAGCTATGGCAAGGTTCAACATATTGCTAAGAAGTTTGTCACAGCCAATGTCGCTCAAAGACATAGCCAAGACATGGGACGCCTGTGCTCGGGCTGTGATCTGTGAGTACGCACAGCAATTTGGCGGTGGAACATTCAGCTCAAAATACGGCACTTGGGAGAAATATGTAGCAGCTTCCTGAATCTGGCGGATCTCTCAGGTCCTCAACGGCAAATCTGTGATTCACTTGCAGTTTCATGTCAAAACTATTGGAAAAAAAAGCCAAAAAGGCTCCTACCTCCTTTTTTTTTTGTTGTTGTATAGTATAAGTTTTTTCTTACCCACATGTGGTTGGGAGTTTTTATCTATTAGCAAAGCTTATGCTGTATTATTGAATATATAATACAGTTAATTATTTACAATTATATTATTTAACTTTGTTGTATGTATTTTGTGAATCTTGTTAGTACAAGTCATTTTGAATGTAGTGCTTTACTGATATACAAGTCTCTTCTCCCTTGCGATGTGTTTTCTTTAGTTGAACTCTCTCATCTTCAATGTTGTTGACTCTGGCGCTCTGTTTCTAAAAATGAATAAAGACTCTCTTTTTTTCAATGTTTTGTAAATGGGCTTTATGCAAATTTCTCAGCTATGTGCTTTGTATGAGCTCGGAGGTCTTTGTTGGGTGAGTCCGTCTAACTAGTAGGACTATAAAAGGTTCAAGTTGATGCCTTTTCTCTCCTTCAATCTGTGACGGGCTGTTTGGAGCTTCTCAAAATGCTCCACTATCCTCTTGCTTAAATATGGCGCTTTCCATGTCCAAAAAAGATAAAAGGTTAGTGGATGCACAACACATGTTCGATGAAATGCCTGAGAGAAACAGAGCCATTGATGAACACTTTACAACACAATCAACAAGGGCGTAACAGGTAGCTCATCTTTGCTTTACTAGTGTCTAACTCTCTGAATTAATCATCCACAACATGCTCCGATACTAGTCTTGCTTTTTTATATAACTTAGCATCGCTGGATTCAAGTGGAAATGTGAAGCAAGAGGAGCTTTTTCAAGAGGTACAAATCAAAATGATAATTTACCAGTGAGTTACTTTCCACTTAACTCATATATTTACCCTATATAATATAAACCTACAAAACTAAACCCAAGAAACTCAGCTTTTGATATAGTGGAAGTTTTTTATGAAATACTATTAGCAGACTTTTGTGAATAACTCGTTAATTTATTCATCACTGGACGACTTGAGAGTCAACCAAGGTAATGGCAAGATCTGAAAGCAAGAACCTAATAAGTAACCATTTGAGCCAAAAGATCCAATCTTTAACAGCTTCCCTTCACTCTCAATCATTTTCCTACTGTTGAGATGGAAGTAAGATCTTTGGGAGCAGATGAGGCATGGGATTTCTTCTGCGAGAGAATTGGAGACACCTTGGAGAGTCACCCGGACATCCGTGAGCTCGCAAGGATAGTTGTTGAAAGATGCAGAGGCTCACCGCTCGCACTTAGTGTTATTGGCGTGACTATGACAGGCAAGACTTTGGTGCAAGAATGGCGGTATGCAATCGACACTTTGACTTTATCGGCGGCTAAGTTTTCAGGTATGGAATGAGATCCTTACGGTTTTGAATTTTAGCTACGATAATTTGAAGGATGAGAGAGTGAAACAGTGTTTTCAATACTGTGCTTTATTCCCAGAAGATGGCATAATATCAAAAGAAGATTTGGTAGACTATTGGATTGATGAAGGAATCATTGATGGAAGAAAAGATTGATATAGAGCAGAGGAGGAGGGTTACGAGATAATTAATTACCTTGTTCATGCTTGTCTATTGATAGAAAATAAATTTGGCAATATAGTGACCATGCCTACCCTGGTTCGTGAAATGGCCTTGTGGGTAGCATCAAATCTTGGGGAGGAGAAAGAAAACTTCATTGTGAAAGCCGTAGCAAAACTTAATCACACTCCAAATGTCAAGGATTGGAGAGGTGTGAGTAGGATCTCATTGTGGGGTAATCGGATCAAGGGTATAAGTTGCAGTCCAGATTGTCCCAAGCTTACAACCTTATTCCTCCAGTTCAATGGTCTGGGGAAGATCTCAAGTGGACTTTTTATGTTTATGCCTAATCTTGTGGTTTTGGATCTAACGGCAAACATTGGCCTCGAGTTGCCTGAAGAGATTTCGAGACTGGTCTCTTTGCAGTATCTCAACTTATCACATACAAAGATAAAGGAACTTCCTCGGGGTTTAAAAGAGCTAAGGAAACTTATACACCTGAACCTGGAGTTTACTGGATGGCTTAAAGGAATTGCTGGGATATCAAGTTTATCAAATCTGCAAGTTCTAAAACTGTATTGTTCCGTCGAATTAAATATGGAACTGGTGGAGGAGTTACAGCTCCTGAAGCATTTAAAAGTTTTGACCGTCTCCGGGGGTGATGCCTATGTCTGGGAAAGATTTATGAGCATTCCCAGATTGGCAAGTTGCACTCGCAGTGCAACTCTTACGCACTGTGAAGCAGGAGCAGATGGAATATCGATTGCCGCGACCTCAAGTAGGCTTAGCGTCCTCCAGATATATGAGTCAAACATAAAGGAGATAAAGATTGATCAGAAAGACGATGATCACTGCAAGCAATAGTCCAAAGAGTCTGAGTAATAGCTGGAACTTCCGATACCTCATCAATGTGGAAATAAGTGAATGTCAGGGTCTGCGGGATTTGACGTAGTTGCTCTTTGCTCCTAATCTTGTTTGGCTGGATGTAAGAGAGTCACCGCAAATAAAAGAAATAATAAGCAAAGACAAAGCTGCCAGCTTTATGAATGGTGAAGCATATGAAAAAATGCCCTTTCTGAAGTTGAGACACCTCGAGTTAGAAAACCTGGAAGAACTGGATAGCATCTACTGGAGTCCTTTGTCTTTTCCTTGTCTAATGAAAATCGATGTATTCGGCTGTCCGAACCTCTGGAAACTTCCTCTCAGTTCCTGCAGTGCAAGCGGCAGTAACCTTGTCATTTATGGAGAGGAAGAGTGGATCCAGAATCTTCAATGGGACGAGGAAGATACTAAGGAGCAGTTCACCCTGAAACTTATAAAGGTGGGATTTCTTGGATTTAGTTTTGTAGGTTTATGAGTAATGTGATGATTGGACCATTTGGCAACCTTGCAGAGCGAGGTACCTGTGGAGAATTCACAAAACCAGTCAGAGTTAGAGTTGCGGAAGAGAGTAGCGGATCTTGAGGAAGAGAACTGATCAGTCAAACAACGTCTTCACAGAGATGTTGTTATGGCAGCAACGGCAAGAGCATCAGCTATTTATGCCTCCACAGAGCAGCATTCAGACAGTGGTGCATCAGCAACAAACGGGATCTCAAATTAAGCTGTACCTATGGCTTTTGTTGACCCTTGTACCTCTTGTCTCTGCAGATCACATCCATGAAAGGGATGTATTTACCAGATATGACTGAACTTCACCAGAAAGTTGCAGCCAAGTTGCAGAACGTAAGTTAATTATCTTCTTCTTTTTCTACTTACTACTTGGACAATAGTTTGCATCTATGTGATATTTTGTTTCTTATCTTATTGAACAAAATATTTTTGTCTCTGGAGCAGGATTTTATTCCACAGCAACAAAGATCAGATAAGTTTGAGAAATTGGAAAAACTCAAGACAATATCGGAGCGAATCATAAATTTCCTATCTGTTCCAAAGGGCGATATCACGCCTGCATTAAAGGATAAGGTGGGTTATAATGAGAAGAAGATTATAGTTTTCTTAAATTTGCACTGGCCAAGGGCAGCTCCAAGATCACTCTCATGAATAAATCAAACAAATCCTTTTGAATGTAGAAATAAGAATTTGTTTGCATGTGAGTAGTGAGTACATTTATAGACTCAGTGCAAAAGTAACTTTTTAAGTCTTTGTTGTTACCCATTTAACAACAAAAAAAAAGAAAAAAACTTTCTTCTTTCAGAGGATGTAACTGCATCTATATGTTTGTTTGGTTTCTTATTGAGCTCAAGCAGAATTCTATTACGTATCAACAAAGATCAAAGCAATTTGTTGGAGCGAAGAATGATACAATTCCTACCTGTTTCAAAGAGCAATATCATGAAGGATTACCACGAGAACCAGATTATTGCTTTGTTACTAGCAGGATTGTGTTTAACTTTCATCTATGTGCTGAGTATGAGCTTGGCGGCTAGATGTGTCTTTTATCTGTTGCGAGAATTATACGAGTCACTCTGGTCACTTGATGCACAACAAATGTTCGATGCAATGCCTGAGAGAGAGAACACTTTGCAGCAAGCGGCTGTGAGCAAAAATCTTTTGTGTGCCCGTTTGCTTATTAAAGTACACGTGTCTCTTCTCTATTGGCCCAATCTCGCTTCGCTTCTTGTATTTAAACGGTGTATTCAAGAAAACGCAAAGATAACGGGAAACAAAAACGAGAACTTTTTCAGATCAAAAGCATTCGTTTTCTCTGATTCGTAAGCAACAACAGGTTCTTGATTTTGAGGTTAGATTTTCGGATTTCATTTTTTTGGTTTTAGGAGAGTTCACAGGCTTGGTGATACACTGATACTCAGAATCGAACACTTTTCTTCTTCTTCTTATCTCATTGCGTGCTTTTCACGGATCGCGTAAGTTTTAGCCTACGGAGAGACTAAAAATAGCAAACCCTTGGGTTCGAGTAGTAATGATTAAGCCCTAGGTCAACCTTTTTGCATCATTGAATTGCATTACAACTTAGATGATGGTTTAATGGGGATACTTGTTTCTCTAACTTTAGGGTTTTAGCATTATACACAGTCTGATGATGAACTCGCTTTTGCCTTTTATTTAGATCCAAATGCAAATGGAGATGATTGGCGAGAGGAGCTTTACCAAAAGGTAATCAATATCCCTTTTTGAATCTTGATTGTTTCTCATGATTATCTCTATAATGGAATCCCCAAGTTAAAAGATACATGGAGGGATCACTGTGATGTGTCTGTACAGATCAGATCCATGAAAAAGATGTATTCACCATATCTTTACCAGAGAGTTACAGACAATTTGCACCATGCAAGTGATAGATGCAACAAGGCAGTTGATCGTAGATGATATCACCATGATGAGTAATCGTATGATTATATTGCTTGTCTTTGTAGATCAAATCCATGAAAGAGACATCCTTCAGAGATCTCAATGAAATCTACCAGATAGTGGTAGCCAAGTTGCAGCAAGTAAGTTACAGTTTTCATTTTTACTAGGAAATTAGTTTGCACGTGTACGTCCTCTGGAACAGTACTAAGTACTTTATATAAAGAGTTTTACGAATTCAATGCAAGATCGGTTCATTACTACAAATGAAAGTCCTACAACTTAGGAATCTTGTTATCCATTTAACAAAGAAAAAGGTTCGTGAGACTCTCATGCTTACAGATAGTCCACTAGAAAGTTAACCTTCTGATAGTTACGTTCCTTCCCAAACCTACAGAGGTTGTAGCTTTCATTTATGTGTTTGTTTCTTTTCTACTGAATACATTCCCTTTTCTCTCTAGGAGGATTCTCTTCCGCAGCAGAAACTAAGACCAGATCAGTTTGAGAATTTGAAACGAGGCAAGACAGGGTTGGACAATATGCTACAATTCCTATCTCTTTCAAAGAGCAATATCAAACCTGGCTTGAAGGAGAAGGAAATTATAGATTTCTTAAATAAGCAGAGTCTGAGAAAGATAGTACAGAAAGGGCAGCTTTCGAAAGCTCAGATTCAGCCTATGCAGCAACCACTATCTCAGACAGTTCAAGATCAATCTCATGATAATCAAACAACTATGCAGATTCAATCAATGAGCAAGCAGGGTGCTGGGTCAAGGACACAACAGATCAAGCAAGGTGTAGTTCAATCCCTTGAAATTGGCACTCCCGGGATCTCTGCCTCTCCTCTCCTTCAGGAGCTTACTAGTCCTGATGAAAATATCAGATATCCTTTGACAAGTACTTGTGGAAAATCGAGTGCTACTGAGCTGCCTATTGAACGCCTTATTAGAGCTGTAAGTAACATTACTAATTTTGAAGGATATATTGCAACAGGGCGGTGTCATTGCTGGCATCCCTCTTTTGTCGTAGAAACATTGTTCTGATCTTAATGTATGCTTTCTGTTGATTTCAGGTGAAATCCATCTCACCACAAGCGCTTTCTTCTGCAGTAAGTGAGATCTGTTGTAAGCATGGTTGATAAGATAGCTGGTTCAGTACCAGGAAACGATTCAAGAGCTTCAGTTGGTGAGGACTTGGTTGCAATGAATAAATGCTGTCTCCAAGAAAGAAACTTCATGATGCAGGAGGGAATGGTGGCGTCCGTGAAAAGGAAGCGTCAGACAACCCCAATGCCATTAAGCGTTGCTTCAGTGGGAGGAAGCGTTGGTGATAGCTACAAGCAGTTTGCTGGTTTGGTAACATCAGATATGGAACCTTCTGTGACTTGTGGTGGCAAGAAGGCAAGAACTGAGGTATGGTTTTCAGTTACACTTCCCTTAGGTATATCTGCAAAGTTTATACAAACACACACACTCAGCACATAAAATTTGGAAGCCCAAGATTTCAATTTTCTTATTTTGAAGACTCAATCTTGGACTGCAGACCGAGCATGCCCTTTTGGAGGAAATCAAGGAAATAAACCAACGGCTGATAGATACAGTTGTTGAGATTATTAATGATGAAGATGCTGCTTATCCTAGTGAGAAAGCAACATCAAGCAAAGAGTGTAAAGGAACAACAGTTAGGTTCTCGTTTATAGCTGTTTCTCTCACCCCAGCCTTGGAGGCTCATCTCTCATTAACACAAATGGTAATCATGGTCATTTAGTTTAACATTTTTTGAAAATATCATTTCAGTTATCCTTTTAAAAATATGGTAATCATGGCCTCTATCTATCACAGGCTCCTATTCGACCATTGCGTCTGCTGGTTCCTTGTACCTACCCCAACGGCTCTCCATCTCTTGTGGACACACTCCCGGGCGAAACCAGGTACAAGGAAGATCCTTCAGTCTCAAGTAGATAGATACATATTTCTTTTCATACCGACTCGAGGTAACATGTACCATATAGTTAAAATCTTCTCCAAAATCCTAACCCTCTATAAGAAACTGCATCATCCTCTTTTACCTTAACACGGTCTGGTATCTTAAACAGCAAAGAGAAGGAGGACCTTTCTTCCAAAGCTATGGCAAGGTGCAACATATTGTTAAAAGGTCTTTCACAGCCAATGTCGCTCAAAGACATAGCCAAGACATGGGATGCTTGTGTGCGGGATGTGATCTGTGAGTACGCACAACAATTTGGCGGTGGAACTTTCAGCTCAAAACACGGAACTTGGGAGAATTTGTAGCCGCTTCCTGAATCTGATGGATCTCTCAAGTCTTTAATGGGAGCTCTGTGATTCTTACTGTTTCAAAGCATATCAAACAACCAAAAAGGCATTAGTCTAAGTTTTGTGCCATTGTGTGCTCTAGTGTAGACTGTCTAGTGTGCTGAGCTGTGCATAAACAGTGTGTAAAATAGAAAACTCAAAATGCTTCATTTGCGGATTCACTTTAAACGACTGAGAAACGCAACGTTTGGAGACAAAACCAACAACACAATTTTGCACAGTATCTTCTGCATCGTTTCGTTACGAGCATTTCACATCACCCAGAGAAAATAGAAACCCACCACGCCGATGCCTCCTGACACAGCAACTACGTCCAATTTCTTCTTCACCACACTACCAATCTCTAATCCTTCTAAACTTTGTTTTCTACTTCTTCATTTTCTCACATACAGATAATACTTAGGTGGTGTTATTCAATGGATTTTAATAGAATTGAAATTCAACACTAATCCAGTGTTACTCAACTAATGATTTTTAAATCTAACTGTAAAATCTGGTGTTATTGGATCTTATACCTCATTAGATTTGCTCAGAAAAAAAAAAATACTTCATTAGATTTTAAAAGTTTGATATTATTCAACTAAGATTTAAAATACTTCATTAAAATCCAGTATTATTCAAGTCTTTTTTTGCCTGAGAGAGTGAAAGTCTTTTTTTGGTTGGGGGTTAACCAAGTGATAATGACCAATATGGAGAGACAAAGACGTCATTTGAGTGACACCGGGATTTGTCAGGTTTGTAAGGGAGGGGAGGAAACGATAATTCACGTGCTTCGGGATTGTCCTGCGATGTTTGGTATTTGGACCAGAATTCTACCTCCGCGGAAGAGAGGTACCTTCTTTAATCAATCAATTCTTGAATGGGTGTTTGAGAATTTGGGGGATAGTAAGGAGGTAGATGGGTGTCCTTGGGCTACTTTGTTTGCAATGGCAATATGGTGGGGATGGAAATGGAGATGTGGCAATGTGTTTGGTGTAAATGGAAAGTGCAGGGATAGGGTGAAATTTATAAGAGATCTGGCCAAGAACGTGTTTCAAGCACACCACAATGTGAGCTCTAAAGAGAAAGGGGTGGGAAGGATTGAAAGAATGATATCGTGGAAGAAACCGGTTGATGGTTGGGTTAAGTTGAACACGGATGGAGCATCTCGTGGTAATCCGGGCTTGGCAGCAGCGGGTGGGGTCCTACGTCAAGGAGATGGGAGTTGGTATGGTGGTTTCTCTTTGAACGTTGGAATATGTTCTGCGCCGTTGGCAGAGTTATGGGGAGTTTATTACGGTCTCTACATTGCTTGGGAGCGTAAAATAACTCGGCTGAAGTTGGAGGTTGATTCGGAGTTGGTTGTGGGTTTTCTTACAGCGGAGATTAGCGATTCTCACCCGTTGTCTTTCCTAGTACGTCTGTGCTATGGCTTTTTATCGAGGGACTGGATAGTCCGTATCTCACATGTGTATATGGAAGCTAATCGTTTGGCAGACGAATTAGCGAACTATTCGCTTTCTTTACCGCTTGGTTTTCATGCTTTTACTGTTTGTCCAGAACTTGTTTATCCATTTATGTTGGAGGATATAAACGGGTCTGCGTACTCACGTAATGTCCGATTGTAAGTTTTTTTATTTTAATAAATTAGCATAGGAGACATTGTCTCCTATCGATTACCAAAAAAAAAAATCCAGTGTTATTCAAAACTAAGGGGGGTGTATTCAATAAAGGATTTGAAATGATTTGTATTAAAAAGATAAATCTTATGTTATTCAAACATGAATTTTAAAAATCTTTTTAAAATCAAGTGTTATTGGATTAGTGATTTTAAATTCTACAATCAAATCCACTGTTATTGGAAACATTTTAAGTTGTGGATTTGAAATGACTTGAGTGGTTTTTGGTGGGATTTCAGAGAACATTTTAGTTAAAAATTCAAATATCCAAATCCCATGGTTTTAGGTGGGATTTGAGAGAGTTTTGATATCAAATTCCTTAATTCACCAAAATTCACCAAAATCATCTCAAAACTCATTAAAACTCAAATCACTCCAAATTCTTTTTTCAATACACCCCCGTAAAAGACTTGTAAAATTTTTGTATATTAAATCATTTGAAATGAAATCTCTTTGGAGTTTTATGAGTAAATTATTAGAATCAAAATCCAAGATTTTGAAATCCACACAAACAGATTTTTAAAAACAATATAAGAAAGCGAATTTAAAATCTTAAAGAATTGACTTTAACTCCATGATTGAATAATACCCCATATACATGTATTGTGGACACTAACTTTACATTTTTTGTAAATACATCAGCAACACTTGGTAAGTAGGGAATCATTTTACATTCTGGAAATATTACACTTATAGTGTTTTATTGATTGTTATATGTCACATCGTAATTAAGATTTTTTTTCTAAAATACTCCAAAGACTGAAATTAATTGTGATATTATCATGACCTAAAACGCTTTGAAAATATCTCTCTCAACTTCATACCACGCGGATCAGCATACAAATTAATGACTCTTACCAACACATTAATGACTGTATTTAATATTTTGATTTCAAATTGGGGATTTTATTTGATATCTCTGCAAGTCTCTTTCCTCGTTATGAATTCATCTCCCAACTTGATCTTTGCATGTGCATGTGAAAATGTAAAATGTATGTGTACACGTATATATATGGTAAAACCAAGCATCATCTTAAGCTTGGTTTGTTTTTCTTAATAACATCAATTTGAAGTCGGGTAATGAGGTCAAATGCTATAATCTTGGTCATATTACTGGCATTTGATCATATTAAACTTCTAAAAATACTTCATAACTTCTTTTCTTTGTTTACTTTGGAAAAGAAAAAGTTATATTTTATGATAGAAATTAGAAAGTGTAATTGCGTAAACCTCTCGTAAAAAGATTGTACTCCGACCGAAGAGTTTATTTCCTTTTTTTTTTGTATGAAAAGTTTATTTCCTTTTTATCCAGTAAAGGAAAGAACTTTTATTTGACCAAAAAAGAAAAAAGACAGAACTTTATAAAATCCAAGACAGAGCGAGAGAGAAGCATTACAACGGTCTCGAAAATGCCTAAGCAAGTGATTAAATCGGGAAGCCGACCACCGTGGGTTGGTTTATCGGCGGCGGTATGGCTAGAAATCGCCGCCGGAAACGCTTACAACTTCCCATTATACTCTCATGCTCTGAAATCGGTGTTGGGTTACAATCAGCAACAGCTCACGATGCTTGGAGTTGCCAATGATGTCGGAGAGAGCGTCGCTTTGCTTCCTGGTTACGCCTGTAGCAAGCTTCCTCCATGGATGGTCCTCTTTGTCGGTGCTTGTGCTTGCTTCTTTGGCTATGGACTCATTTGGCTTTCCGTTACTCAGACTCTTCCTGGTCTTCCCTTTTGGCTGGTGAGTCAAAAAGTTTTCACCTTTTTCTTTCAGCCCTAATTTGATGCGTCTGTGAATCGTTTGATTTTGTGTTACCTTGTTTAATCGATGTTCTTTTGATGCTTTCAACTACTAAAAGAACACCATTGATATGCAAAAAAAGATGATCTTTTTGTTTCACGGGGAATTGCAGTTGTGGATTGCGCTTATTGTGGCTACTAATAGCAATGCGTGGTTTGGGACAGCAGTTTTAGTGACGAACATGAAGAATTTCCCACTCAGTAGAGGAACTGTTGCCGGAATTCTCAAAGGGTATTCTGCAATTGGTGGAGCCGTTTACACTGTCATATACAATGTGTTTCTTGATCAATCCTCTACGAAATTGCTGATGTTCTTGTCCCTCGGAATCCCTAGTATCTGTTTTGCGATGATGTACTTCATTAGACCATGTGCTCCTGCTTCTGGAGAAGATTCATCTGAGCATGTCCATTTCGTTTTCACTCAATCCATGGCCTGTTTAGCTGCTGTCATTGTTTTAATCATCACTGTGGTTGGCAATTTGATCCCAGTAAGCAGTAGCGTTACATATACACTGGTTGGTTTAGTGATTGTTCTTCTGGTGTCTCCTCTTGCAATTCCTGTCAAGATGACATTATTCCGGAAAAAGTCCGTGAAGAAACCGAACCCTCTTGCCGAATCTGCGGAAGGAGGAGAGAGTAATCCAACCAACCCGTTGCTGAGACCCTCTTCGTCTCTTGGAAGTTTCATTGAGATGGAGGAGAATGATGCTTCAGATATACAGACCCTTTTAGCTGAGGGAGGAGGAGCGGTTCAGAAGAAGAGAGGACCGAGGAGAGGAGAGGATTTTAGAATGAGAGAAGCTTTGGTCAAAGCTGATTTCTGGCTTCTATGGTTTCTTTACTTCCTAGGTGTTGGCTCTGGTGTCACAGTTTTAAACAACTTGGCTCAGGTTGGGATTGCAGTTGGTATTGATAACACAACAGTCCTCTTATGCCTCTTTAGTTTCTTCAACTTTGTTGGCCGGCTTAGCTCAGGTGCTATCTCAGAGCACTTTGTCAAGTCAAGAGCTATGCCGAGAACCGTGTGGATGACATTAGCACAGTTTCTCATGGTACTTGCTTTCATTCTCTACGCTCTCTCTTCAACCGCCACTCTCTATCCGGCAACCGCGCTTCTAGGCACATGCTACGGGTTTCAGTACGCACTCATGGTTCCTACAGCATCTGAGCTCTTTGGACTCGAGCATTTTGGCATCATCTACAGTTTCATGATTCTAGGAAACCCAATTGGTGCAGTTCTCTTATCCGGTTTACTAGCTGGTCGTTTGTATGATGCTGAGGCTATTAAACAAGGAAGCTCGACTTGTTACGGACCAGAGTGTTTCAAGCTGACTTTCGTGATCCTATCTAGCGTCTGTGGGGTTGCAGCGATTCTCGGCGTGATTCTATCTATTAGGATAAGACCGGTTTATCAATCTCTATACGGCTCAAGATTTTACCGGCTACCTCAAGAGTAAGTAAGATCACTAAAGCAGGCTTAATGTCATGGACTCATGGTTATATGTGTAAGCAGACTTTTAATATGTAAAGCGGTAAGTAAAAGCTGTAAAGAAGTATTGACTGGAACAGAGACTTAGGCCAAAAGCAAAGACTGAAGAGACAGACTCATTACACAGACCCACACACACCTGACACCTCCACTCAAATTGTTTTTTCTAATTGTTAACTAACAAAAATTAATTAGCCTAATCACACACTCCAACACACAAAGACAAAAATATCAAGAAACCATGGTGGAAGAACCCTAAAACCTCATCTCTCACCATCAATCTGATATAAAGAAAGAAGAAGAACTTGAATCCAAAACAGAACAGAACTTGGGAGATTTTTCTCTAAGTAGGTTTGAGATTCTGAAACATTGAATCCCATTTGGTATCTTGAGCAGAAAGTTTCTCATCCTTGAAACTGTAATCGAAAACCATGGGACTTGAGAAGCTATCGATTCTACAAGGAGTCCCATTGGTCAACAACAACCTCTCTTGCTTCTCGAATCCGCCATTTCCATTGCTCGGCATCACAGATCTCTTGTTCCTCTTCAGAAATCCACCTCTCCACTTCCCAATCCCGCTGCTGCTAGTCTTCTTCGGCACTAACACCAGAGCTCGAGACGACGACTCCTCTTCTTCACGGCGGATCCAGGCGCGTACGTGGTCGGAGAAACATTTACCGGTATTCTTAATCGCAACCACGATTCTGGAGATGGATCGAGAGGTGAGAGGATGAGAGTTCTTGCGATCTCGACGAGCGAGTTTGAGAATCTCGAGACGGTGTTTGGCGATGGAGATTCCCATGCTTTGGAGAAATTCGTGGTTGAAGTAAGAAATATCTTCGTGTTCGAGCTCGTTCTGAGAGAAGGAAAGACCGTATCCGTGGATGAGAGAAGGTTCAAGGTTTGTTCTCGAGAGCCATGAAAACCACCAATCTTCCATTGAAGAAGGTTTGTGTTTGTGTTTGTGTTTGTGTTTGTGTAGGAGATGATATATATATAGAGGGAAAGTGAGTGGGGGGGGCTTTGTTGACTTTTGTGCAAGTAGCGGGCTTCGTCGTTAAGGTAGTTGAGGCGTAAAGAGGGACTATATTTAATTTAATTAAAGTGCAAATTAAAAGGGTCAAAAGTGAAAACACATACACAAAACAAAATATTGATTTAGTATTAGTGGTGGGTTATTCATTTTCCAAATTTTATTCGAGGAAATGGGGATGTAATTTTACAGATAAAGTAAACCCATGCTTGTGTGAGTAATAAAAGAAAAGATGGGAGTGGTGGGTACGTAACGTAGAGAATATCGAGAAATTGTGTGAGAGTGTGGAGAATGGAGGAGGGTGACCATCAATCACGGTGTGGGGAAAGGAGCGAACCCAGTGGGATCTTACTTTTTTGTTTATGGGTCACTCTTGTATTTTATAACTAAAAAAGTTAGCACGGTAGTATTATGTATAATACCAGTGTTTTGGAATCTACTTTGCTTTCGTTATTTTACAAAATAAACTAAAAATAGCTTGGGAATTAAGACTATCAAGTGAGGGCGATCTTAGAATACACTTTACTATAGAATGATATGCAATTAAACTGCAATGGGAAATTGCAGCCAGAAATTCCTGATCATGTCATTTACTAAAGACTGATACAAAATATATCCTCATCAGCTACTTATTAATAACAACACATTATGCACATTGGTCAGAGATGAAAATGGATAGAATCTTCCAATTTGTTATCTTAGATTTAGTGGGTGATTGGTTGAGCTGTAGCTGTAATTTTTTTGCTGTAGCGTTTTTGATGTATCTGTTGTTGGCTGTAGATGTAGGGTTTTTTCTGTAGGTATTTTAATAGTTAAGCATGATTGGTAAAATTAGTTCAGTATTATAGATTTATAATTTAAGTATATGAATTTTAAAAATTTGTAATATATTACATAAGATAACAGATGAAACATATAATAAATACTCCATCTGTTTGATGTTCTAGCTTTTTAATTTGTTCCACAAAGATTGATTTTCTAGATTTTTGTTTTATTTTTTATTAACTGATATTAATATATCGTAAACTTCAAGGCGCAATGATTAACTGTTCTATATTACTATTGGTTCAAACTTATTAAAAATTGTTTGATATAAAAAAGAATTGACAAATAATTAGACAATGATTGTTTCTTAATATATGTGAAAACTCTAAAACATCAATCTTTAAGGAACAGAGGGAGTAGTAAGTTTCATATATTCAAAATACATTAAACAATTTTTGGTGAAAATATATATTAAAATATAAAAATTTTTAACAATGAAATGAAATATATACATTCATATATAATTAATATAATTTTCTGTCACTTTAGTAAAAGTATTATAAATAGGTTATTTTTTCTTATATTTAAATTATCATGTACACTAGTATACAGTAAAAAAAAAATTAAATATAGGAGAAGAAAAAATGTCTACAGCTCTTAAAGCACACAAAAATATGCTGTAGAAATTTTAAGAGTTACAGCCAAAAAAACAAAAAAAAATTGTTTTGGGCTGTGAGATTTTTTATTGACTAAAGATACATCCCCCAAAGCTTGATTGGTTTAATATTGGAGGTTTAAGTTTTTTTTTAGTTGTACCATAAAGATACAGCCCAACCATTAACACCATTATATTCCATGAAATTTTATTTGTTTCCCTAACTATGTCTAAATAATAAAAGCTATATAACACTATTGTTCATGCCTAATTATAGGATCAAATCTAAATAAATTAAAAATATATATCATACTCAATATATAATAGGATCTAGTCAAAAAAAAAAAAAAAAATAATAATAATAGGATCTAGTCCAATTATTTCATCCGTTATTAGTAACAACAAAACTATGCATATTGGTCAGAGATGAAATTGGAGAAAATCTTCCGATTTATTTTCTTAGATTTATATTCAAGAAAAAGTTATTTGTTTCCCTATTTATGTGTAAAAGAATAAAACTAATACAAATGTTCAAACCTAATTAAGTGAGAAAATACTTTACTTTCTTTTTCTATTGACTTATGGAAATAAATTGAAAGATACCTCTTTACAAATGTTTGTTATATATACAGATGTGTGATGAGCATGAAGTATAGAGAAAATCGTAAACAGAAAATAATAATAAAGAGAATATCATAAAATGGCTATCACTAAAAAGAATTTGATAGCATTTGTTCTCGCCATTCTGCTTGTTATATCTTATGTTCATTGTCGTACAACATCTGATATTGTTTCTGGTACTGGCTGATTGTTATGCTCTTTTTACTATAAACATAGTTTTATCATTTTCATGAATGTATATATATATATATATATATATATATATATATATTGATCTTATATTAATTTAAATAGGTTTTGGAATAAAAGAGGATGATCATGTATGCTTCAATACAAGTCCGTGTTTGCCTGAACAAGGAGGGGAAAAAGGCTGCATTGCGTTTTGTACAAGACAGAAGTTTACAACAGGCCATTGTCTTAATTCCGAATTATGTTGTTGTTACACTTAATAAATTAAATATGCCCTTTATTTGAGTGAAATATATAATACATATAATCTAATAAATCTATATATACATTTTTGGATGACTTTTAGCAAATAAATCCTGGAGTTGGAATGTATTTACGGATGAATGCCATTGGCATTAATTATTTAAATTTAAAAAATATTAATTAAAGATATTACCAACACGATTTCGAGAATCATAAATTCATATCTTCCTTAATTTTCTGAGTCATTAATGTGATAATCTTTAGGAAATATTTCTCTGTAAAAAAAAAAATCCACATTAATGAAGGCATTAAAATCGACACTAACAATTAAATTATTTAGATATTCAATTATTTTAAGATTCTTATATCTTATTTGATATATTTTTTTTATATCTCATTCTTTAATTAATGCGTTTAGAATTTATTGGTTGTTACCTATTTTTTGGTGAAATTTATTGGTTGTTACTTAATAAGTAATTATGGTGCGTTTATTTTAGTTAATATCTAATTTAAAGGATTTGTTTTCTTTTATTATTAATAAACGAATAACATGTATAGAAATAAAAGATTTTTCTTGCGACTCCATAATAAAAATATTAAACTCTTATTTTCTACATTTCTTACACATAATATCCTCTTATTCAATAACAAAAAATATATATTGCATATTTTTAAAAATATTTATAATATTTAAATTATATAAAAAGTTTGTAATATTAATATTATTTCAACTCTATACAAATTTAATTTATATGTATATATATCTTATGGGAACCATTTAAAAGAAATTTTTAAATTGACTTGAATTATATAGCTTTTAAATAAAAGTATTATTAAAAAGAAAAATAACTAAATGATGTTTAATTTCACAGGACGGGTAATATGATGGGACGGGTTTGGGTTGATATTTATAAAAGATAGTATACCACGGGTGAAATCCTAAAATTAACAATCAAAATAATCTATCAAACAAATTACATTTTGATTTTTTTAAGAAAATATAGCCCCGCGGTGTACCGCGGGTTAAAATCTAGTCTATATATACATTTTTGGAGACATTTATAAAATAAATCCTAGAGTTCCAACTTATTTACGATTAAATGCCATTATATTAATTATTTAGATTTTCAAAATTAAATCAAAGATATTAACATAAAAAAATTGTTTCGAAAAAATCTTAACCTAATATATTAAGCATAACTAATCCTTACCACAATTACATCCATATTCAATTCGATTTCCTTAAAGGATCTCAACAATCTCTACATTTAATCGTGGCCATTCAATTTTTATTCCGGTTTTTAATCTTAAATCTTGACCGTCGGTCATACGCAATTAATTCAGAAATCATTATATAGAATTAATTATTATTAACTAAAATTTAAATATATATATATATATAAATCAAACTTTTAAATTGACTCGAATTATATGTCTATTAAATAAAATATTATTAAAAATAACAAAATGATGTTTAATTCCATGGGACGGAGTTCTATAGTGGGACGGGTTTGGATCGATATTACGGGACGATATTAATAGCACTGATGAAATTTTAAAATTAACAATCAAAATACAATTATACAATCTTAAACACTTAACAAAATAAACAATATTAGAAAATAGAATTTCAAATTTATTTTTTTAGATAAAAAAAGGGAGACTCACAAAAATGCCCCTTTTTCAATACCCCTTTTCAAAAATGCTCCATTTGGCTGTCTATTTTTAAAAATACCCTTTTTTATGTACAAAATGACTAAATTACCCTTCTTTTAATAAAAGATATCACAAATATATAAGGAAATATACCAAAATTAAGTCCACAAAATACAAAATATTTTTTGGCGGGAAAAGTGATCCCGTAATTTTTCCCGCCAAAACACTTGTAAAAACTTTAAAATACCTTGTAAAATTTTCCCGTAAAATTTTTTTCCGCCAAAAAACTTTCCCGCTAAAAAAAAATTTTTGCGGGAAAAGTGATTCCACAATTTTTTTGGCGTTAAATTTTTGGCAGAAAAAATTTTGGCGGAAAAAATTTACAAGGTTTTTTATAGGGTATTTATAAGGTTTTACAATGTATTTTAAAAGATTTTACAACGTATTTATAAGGTATTTATAAGATATTATAAGATTTTACAAGCTATTTTATAAGGTTTTACAAGTTATAAGGTTTTACAAGTTTTTTTATAAGGTTTTACAAGTTATAAATACCTTATAAAACCTTATAAGTACCTTGTAAAACCTTTTAAAATACATTGTAAAACCTTACAAAACACTTGTAAATACTCCGTAAAACCTTTAAAATACCTTGTAAATTTTTTCTGCCAAAAAAATTGTGGAATCACTTTTTCCGCAAAAAAAAATTTTTGGCGGGAAAAATTTTTATGGAAAAATTTTACAAGGTATTTTAAAGGTTTTTACAAGTGTTTTGGCGGGAAAATTGTGAGAAACAATTATCTTTATTAAAAAAAAATTTATCTTTATTTATTTATTTTTTGACAGAGATTTAAGGAAATAAATGTGAAGATTCTTCTATATACATATTTGACCATAAAATACGCCTTCTAAAATGTGTGTTCGTGTTATATGTATATTTTCATCACCAATTCTCATGATATGAGTCAAACACATAGTAACGAAATATTGGTAGTATAACAAAAGGTTGATGTCTCGTAATGCGATCGATATATTGCCATATAACCGGGATATGAGAAAACGAAGAATTTGAACCAAAAAGAAAGAAAAAAAAAAAAGCAAAGAAAACGAAGAATATGGAAAATGGCAAAGCAATTAAACCTTTATGTGAACGTGTAAGAGAAGGGGACACATACATTAATGGAAAGTGACCTATCCCTAAAACTAATAAATAATGCCTTAATAAAAGACCACTTTCTTGACGATTAAATAACAATTTCTAATACTAGTAAAAACTATATGTTTGATTGTTTGTTGTTGCTAAATGAAAAATTTCAATAGCTGAGTTCAATATAAGAGAATCTAGACAAATGAAAAGAGATCTGAAGTGGGATTTATCATTCAATTGAGGGATTATCGCACAGTTACCGGTATAGAGAAGAGGCAGATGTGTAGTACTAGAACCAGTACTTATTAAATCGTGAATGATTAATAAATAACGTTTCGTTTTCATTAAATGTGACAATAATAATCAGAAAACAAAAATAAAAAGGAAGTTAGGGCTGAGGTTGATCAGAGCGTCACTGATCTCGTGATAGTGAGACTTTTGGACAGATACGCCGGATGGGACCCACGTGCTTTGCTTTTGGCCGGATAGCTTTCTTTGTTTATTAACAAAAAAAAAAAGATGCAACCACCATCCCTCAATCAATGCTCAATTCTCCTTTTATTTTTATTATGCTATAGTTTTGCACTAATAAGTCAGATTTTTTTCTCTCTATTAATTACATTAATAATTTGTGAACTATTTTTAATTTACCAGTATAAGATATGAGTTAAAATACATACTAAACTCGGAAACTTGTAAAATAAATAGATTTTTTTGTATTTCCAAAATCTGTAATGATTAAATAAAAAATTAAGAGTGTATATTTGTATTTGATGGGATTTTTATTCTAACTGTGATCTATATGACAAAATCTATATCATTCTAACTTAATCATTAGACTATAATCATTTGGTTTATAATGTATTTGTGTTGCTCATAATAATTGTTTTTAATATATATATTATTTAATTAATGCTTTTAACACGTACATATTTGCTTTCTAACTTATTTTTAACAAGTATCGAGTTTCTTAAATATATATATGTAATATATTGTTAACACGTATCCATTTTCTTAAAAAACAATAAACTATTTTTAACATTTAAAGAGATACTAGATCATGACCCGCACATACCCGCACATACCCGCACATACCCGCACATACGTGCGGGTTTTCATATTTTAAAAAATTTCTAACAAATTTTAATAGAAATTTTTATAGAGATTTTAAAAATATAAAATATTTGTTGTGTTAGTGAACTTCGTAATAGTATAAATATTATAAAGTTAGAGTAATGAACAAAATTCAGTTGCGTTAATAAATAATTATATTTTAAGATCCGGACTAATTTAGTTGCAAAAGTTAAGTGGTGTTACATTTTTATTTTCTTAACTAATCAAAATAGTTCTAACAGTTTGATTACATATGTTAAATAGGATATGAATTCGGTTTTAGTTTGGGTTATTTCATGTATATAAGCTAGGCGTAACTATTTTGGAACATGAAAATATCTCGTCCGGTATCTGTTATAAATTCTTTGTCCCATAATCTGTCACGTATACATAAAATAAAAATATTATGGTCCCATATCTGTCATAAATAGAGTATGTGTAACTGAAAACGTATGTACAGGGTTACGTACTTACGTGTGTAAACAAATTTATTTTATATAGTTCTCATAACCCGAACTCATGCCAGTTAGGTATTTAGTTTGATTTTTAATATATGTTCCCCTTCCATCTCGTCTCGTAATTTCTATTTCTATTTTATTCCATTAAAATCATATTCCAAATTCTTGTTTTCTTACTTTTAAATACCATACAATATTACAATATATATTGTGAGTTTTGGGGATTAATATGTATACTTTTAAAGTTATAAATATATTTAAACAAATTTATTAATGTTTCTAGCTAAATTTTGCATATTTTTCTTTTCATTGTTTAATCATAATTAATTCGATTTTGGAACTAAAATTAAAATTTGAGATACATCTATAAAAGGGATATGCTATTGCTGCATAATTTATTTTGAATGCAAAATATATAATTAGTTCACATTATTTCAAAAACTGTGTGCAATGTATTATGGATTTGTTTTAAGGAAGATCCTGTTGAGAAGAAAAAAAACACAAAATATTTCGAAATTAGGTGGTACAATCTTTTGTTTAGATATTCCGAAACTTTCTCTAAACGAAGGCCATAACGATAATTACTTATCATTATTTGAGTTTATTTCATAGGGGATATAAATATTTGTTAATATCTAATATCATTTTTTTAGAAATTGTGAAATAAAATTTTGTTTTATATTTCAAAAC